CCGAAACCGAAAAATTATTTTTTTTCCCGCCGAATCTTTAAAAAATGTTTTTATTTATTTAATTTTAGTTATAATTATATTTTTTTTACTTTATTGTCGGGGGCTCTGGGGAAATATCAGGAGTCTGTTTCCCTTTTAAAATAGAAAAAGAGATTGAGGACACAGAGTCCTAAATCTTTTTTTCTGCAGCCCCCTGTTATGAATGAACAGGAATCCTCTATACTGAATGCTCCTGTCCATTCATAAATTGTGGAAATAGTTACTATGTCCACAATCATGAATGAACAGGAAGTGATGTAGATCACTTCCCATTCATTCATAACTGGGGACACAGTAAGCATACTATGCCCACAGTTATTTACACACACTCAGCGATCACCTGATTGCTGAGTGTTTGTACTCCGCTCTCCATCCTGACTTGCTGCCACAGGAGGCTGAGTGGCGCGGCGCGGAATGAGAGCTGAGCCTCCTGACAGCTGACTCCTCCTCCCATTAACGACACTCTGCCTGTCACAGGAGCCGAGCAGGGTGGTACAGGAGGAGAGCTTGGCTCCTGTGACAGCTGTCTCCGCCCCGCTTGGCATCCTGTATTTTTCATGTATAATGTAAACATTAAAAAAGTTTTTTGTGTGTTTTACTTTATACTAAGGTTGTAATACCTCAAGCTTTTAACAAATAGAGTTCCCATACGATTATTATAATTTGAAGTCAAGGTGTCCTCCAGATAGTTACTATAAAGAAAAAAAATATTTTTTTTTGTGATAGAAAAACATTTGTAGAACAAAAACTATACCTCCTGATTCATATATGCCAATAGTTCCCAATCTTTTTTTTTCACTACCATACCCCTTGGCAGTCCATTTTTTTAAGCTGTACCCCTCAGTGGGAGTGGGGCAGGGCTAATAGTGAAGTATGTAGCATGCTGTGCTGAATGATAGGTGTGGCCAAAGTGCACAAACAGTAGGTGGGGCACTGTGTCAGTGGGGTGAACGTGGGAGCTGGGAGGCTGGGGTGGGGGGCTCTTTGTGGTATGCCATATTGCAGTGGTGTGTCCAGTTTTATCTTGGGGTCTCTTTGGGGTGCAGGCCCTGGAACCAGGCCTCCTTGCACTTAAGAGAAGTGAAGAGCACATCACTCAGCAAGGGACGAACTGAGGTGTTGGCAGTCAAAACTGGAAAATGCAGCCTCAGGATTATTCTGCAGATCTTTTGCACACATTTAATCCCAGACTCCCCACTACCACAGCTTTTTAGCCCCATTGCAAAAATATTTTCAAGTACCCCTAAATGTGCTGCCAAGTACCCCTGGGAGTACTTGTACCCCAGGTTGCGAAAAGCTGATATAAGCAATAAAAACCTGGCACAGATTTCAAATGCTCCCTACACTTCCAAAACTACAAAAATAAAAGTTTTGGGTAGATAATATATAGACTTTAACATTATGATAATCAAAAGCTGAGATTTGAAAGCAGGCAGCATCAGAAGCAGGTGCCTGCAAGGACCTCTATTAGTTGGCACTTCTTCCTCCTTACTGTGCCCATCAGTCCATAGGCTTGCATTTGTGCACAGGGTTGCCACGAACACTTGGCAGAACTGTTGAAGCCGTGTACTCAGAGCCGTCTGTATTGAAGTTTGTAGCCAGGATAGATCCCTTTGTTTGGAAGGAAAGAAACAGCATATTCTGGAGTATATTATAGAAGTGCCACTTGCTGCATAAACAAGGTTCTTTACACCGCATCACTGGCTGGTCTGTTTTACAGTTTAATCAGAATTAGGTGTAGAAAAAGCTTGATTGCTCAAAACCTCTAAGAAGTTATAGGTTCTACATACCTCCAATAATCATTGTACAAAGGTCCTGCTCATTCCTCAATTAATCTTGTGTTTTCCATTTTAGGGATTTTTTTCTTAGCATTTTGCTGATGATTACTTTGCAGACTGTGGGAAATCATTGACTTGCATTAAACCACAGTCATAGACAGTATACACAGGACACAATAATACATTAATGGTAGATACAGGAACATCTGAAATGCTGGGATGGCAAGGTAAAAGTGACAATAGTTGCATTGTTTTTAGTCATTATTCCTTTGGCATTTTTGGAATTTACTTAGGTCAAATTAGAAGATTTTCTGGTTCTTAAACAATCACATTAATACATAGAGGTTACCATTTGTTTTAAAGCACATCCGTGGGTAACTATAAAAACTACCCTTGCAACTGGGCTTGTTTTTTTTTTCTAGGGGACTGGAGTAAGGTACTTTTACTTAACTGATCCCCGCTCCCTCTGTGCTGCTAGACTGGTCCCAGCAGCCTCTACTTCCTTGGGTTCCGGCAGTCTAAGGACTGCTGATGTCATCACACCTAATGCAGGTTCCATAGGACACTGAGGGACATTCCACCAGCCAGAGGGGAAAGAGGACACCGCTGACTGCAAGGCAAGCAGGGATCAGGTGAGTAAATCTGCTGTACACCAGTCCCCTAGGCATAAACAAGGACTTGACTCTTGTAGTGTGGAGGTAGCCTGCTGCGAAGCTCATTTTTTAGTTTGCATGGATATGGGATTTAAAGCTGTGCTACATCTTCATATCATGGGAAGGGTCTGTACAGTAGAGTAGTAATACAAAACATCAGAGAAGAGAAGGGCGTGCTTGGGGCGGGTATTTGAGTCATGTCTGATGAGAGACGCATGTAAAGGACAAGTGGCGGGCACAGATCACACACATCATCATGAACCTTAAAAAAAACACATGGTGGATGCAGCCCATCGTTCCAAACCTGATACAGCACACTGGAGTATTGGCATCTTTCTTTGTTTTTTTTTTTTTCATATGTTTGTACACACATTCTTTTCCAGTTTTCAGGTGTAAACAGTTTTGTTTAGCCTAATGGAAAGCAAGTTAGTAGAAGATGATCGTTAGGAGCGAAAATGTGCAAAAAACACATGCTATGCCCGTTTTGCAGACATCCTGCCCAAAAGAGGCTCCTGTACTTCCCGTAGCACATCGCCGAGATGTGAAAGGGCCTTATTGATGAGTGTTGTCACACTTGTGAAAAAACGCAACAAATCGCTTAGGTGTGAATGGGGTCTAAAAGAAAATATACAATATTGTTTTAAGAGTAACTCCAGTTGTATTTTTCTGTCCTTCCTGTGTTAAAAAAATGGAATTCCTTAATCCAATAGAACACCTCTGGGACATTATGTCGCAGTCTATCCGACACCACGAGGTTGCACCTCAGTCTGTTCAGGAGCTCAGTGATACCCTGGCCCAGATCTGGGAGGAGATACCCCAGGACACCATCCGTCGTCTCATTAGGAGCATGCCATACAAACTAATGAGTACCATTTTGAGTTGCTGCAATGAAATTTCAGCACAATGGACTAGCCTGCTGCATCATTTGTTCACTTTGATTTTTGGGGTGTCTTTGAATTCAGCTATGTGTAGGTTGATAATTTTTCATTTCCATCCAACGACGTGGCATCCTTTCGTTCCTAACATATTACCCAGTCCAGTATACAGTAGATGTGTTTTCAAAGTGTTCCTTTAATTATTTTGAGCAGTATATATATATATATATATATATATA